GGAAAGAGTAAAACTAATGCAGCAACTTGAGATGTTCAATTAGACAGTAATAGAGAATATAGTTTAAAAAAATAAATCTATTTCCTTACCACCAGCATGCGCTCTTTAGAATTACGATGCATCAGGGAAGCAGGAAGTGCTGTAATTTGCATTTAAGAAGTGTAAGTGCAGCACAACAGTCTTTGCGGCCCACCACCGTACCTTTCTGGATTAAACATGACTAAAATCAAGAGCACCTGTACAAGAAGGCATCGGTCACAAGAGAAACCACAGCCTTCAAAATGCAACAGCCTTCATTTCCTCCGGTATTTTTTTTCCACGTGTTTGTCCTAAATCCCATGCTCCAGGAACTGGGCTTTTCAGATGTCTTCAGGCAAAACAGAATATTCCCTTAATTACTGGTACTCTGTTGCCTTTTACAGTTGTGCCTCCAGGAAAGCTGTTTCGCTTGTTCGTAGAACTGCCTGGCATTTATAAGGGTAAAACCTTCTTCCAGAGCTCTTAGTTGGCTACACAACCCTCACTCAAGAGCTACATCCAAAGCAAAGTGTTTGAAAAAGAGGATTCTTATTAAGTTTTCAATTATGGAGGGAGTGGCTTTACCCTGGTGTTGGACAGGACAGTGCTGTAGAGCTGAGGAAAACATCAGGCATACTTGATGTGGTTTCAAAATTCATACACCACAATTCCCCATCTGAAGAAACAAAGTTGTCACCACACAAGAGTTACAAGTGCTCATGTCAATTAGGATACTAATTTTGACAGTCCTTGAAGAGCCTGGTAACATCCTCAAGACAAGCTGACACACAACAGCGGAGGACGATGCATTCTGTGAAGGAATACACTTAGTCATGAATTGGAGGCCTATGGACTGGAGAAAAAACAGCTGCCCAAGCCTGTCGGAAGTTTTTTTTTTTTAAATGAAAGGCAGTGATGTGGGAGAAGCTGCAGAACAAAACAAAAAGCAAAAGAGCCTTTCTTTATAATCTGAGATACACTAAACATATGAAGAAAGAACTAACTAGAGTTAATCGAAACCTATCTTAACCTAATCTTATTTCCTTCCATTTGGTTCAGTACTTAGGCCTTCACTCAAGGTGCGGCTCCCATCCCTAGCAAACCTTCTTCAGTCTTTTCCAATGGTCTATTTGCAGAATAGCTATGGAGAACCTGCCACCCAGCAAAGGAGGAAATACTCATCCCCTGTATGTCCCAGATGCCACCTCTACATCATGGTACCAGCCCATTCCTCAGCGACAGCAGCAGCCATCACTAGTGAAACTCCAGTGTAAGTAGATCAAATGCATCACTACACTGCAGCTCAGGGCTACTCTGCTCTCCTGACAGGACAGCCTTAGAAGGCAATCACTCTTCCAGCAGACAGTCTCCTTGTAGCTCCTAAAGTTGACTGAAGCAGAGGATCAGTCTAGGACAGCTTTTTGTGACCCAGTTTTTGTGTCTCCCAGAGGTGAGATATTCACACAGACAAAATCTATTAAAACCAGTATCTTTCTTCTCTGTAACCATAATGAAATTTAAAAAAAAATCAGAAATGTTCATGGTGTACCTGGATCTAATCTCACCACCACCAGGTAAAGGAGAAAAGTAGCCAAGAGCATCTTTTTGTAAGGAAGTAAATAGAAGTGGCTTGACATGGACCTCAGTGCTCGACGTAGCAATGTCAACATCGCCAAGAGCTTTTGGGACAGAGCACCTAGAATACAGGAACAAAAGGGCTATTAGGACAAAGTGAAGTAAAAAAAGTAATCACATAGATACAGATAATAAGAAAGTAAGATACTAAAGTAAGACTGTTCTTGGTTTGATTGCATGACAGTTGTGTTGAGGGTTTTTTTAATAATATGGACCAGAAAAACTGTACAAATTTGTAATACAATTCATTATACCTTCTGTTAAGTCATCTACTTTAATGTAATATGGTCTTATGCCACAGTAGTGCCAGCTCCTCTCCTGCGACATAATGCCAAATGATTTAAGTTCTGGAGGAGAAGCAGTGCTTTAAATGCCAAACATGATTGTTCTACATGGGCTAAACTGCAAATGGAGATGAAGCAGAGAGTACACAGAGCCAACAAAATGTACCCTTGAAAGACTGCTAGGTAGTTTTAATTTCCCTTTTGTACTTTTTTTTTAAAATAAATTTATTCTGGTTTACGTTTGAACCTGGAAGATAATTCTTATCTCTTGACATCAGCAGAGACTAAACACACTTTATAATTGCTGCCAATGGATCACTAAGTCTTCCATTTACTTCTGAGCTAACCAACAGGACTTCCTTGTGGCTGGTGTGTCACTACACTATTCTTAAGACATTGTTAACACTTACTACCCTTTGTAAGTAGGGGACCAATTCACTTGAAATCAAATGATAACAAAAGAAGAGGAGCACAAACACCAGAGGGAAAGCCTACCCAAAACAGATTCTGTTGCTGCATTCTGCTGCTCTTCATCAGCGGAGTGCATCTCTTCCCGTTGAGTCTGCTGACATCGGCTTTCACGAATGGTCCCGAGAAATGCCAGCTGCTGTTCACTGTCAAGAACATCACAGCCACGTACAAGCTCCTCTGCCCCCTCAAACTGGCCAAGTGGAAGCAACACATGCAACAGGTAGAGCTCCAGCAATGAACCATACTCGAGGAGGTTCTTATTGGCTTGGTCTCTCAGCCAGCTACTGCCAACCTCCAGCATCACTTGGGGCTCTCTCACTTTGCTGTATAACAGGATACTGAAATACAAGAAAAAAATACTAGAAAACACTGATGCTTTGTAAGAGTTGAGATCACTGACACTTACTACCCACAAGCAGCTATAATGAAGCCATGTGTCAGGGTCTACACTTGAAGCACAGAGAGATTTCTGAGGTGGACAACAGGGGCAGCTACTGATGTTAGCTTCTCAGCATCCATCCTTTTCTACTCTATCACAGTGAAGCACTCTGTAGGCATGCTCCAGCACACACAGGTCAAAAACCGGCCTGTCCCACTTTCAATCTCACACTACACAAAGTGAAAATATCACACAATGTTCAAGCCTGGCCTGCTATTAATACCAGTTAATGCAAATCCTGTGTATCTGACAGCCACAGACAGAAACTCACCACAGCTCCAGAACTTTTGGAGGCAGATGTTCGGGGACATGGTAATACTGTAGGACCCAAGACAGAACTTCTCTCCACCGGTTCATCTCAGCCAGCGCCTGAATCCCCACAACACAAAGGGAGCATTTCACTTCTGCAGAGCTGGCAATGGAAAGACACCTAAGTAAGTGCTTAAAACCGCGTTTCCCCTTGCATCCTTTCCAGTGAGCTGCTGCCTACCCTAAGGACTCCACAGTTCTCCAACAGCTGCTTTCCTTCCCTTGCCTCACCTCCCACCCCTCACCTCCAATAAAAAGGTAAATTCAGTCTCCAAGAAGATGCACAGTCTGTGACACAGGGAGGGCTCCTGGGCCCACCCTGCGTCCCTCACACATGTGCAGGCCCCTTCACACGAAACACATCGACACAGGCAGGCCATTACCACACAGCAGCCAAAGCCAAGCAGGGTTCTAAATTATTACTAACTCTCTTTCTAGCAACACGACACCCTCCATTAATTTGGACAATTACGAAAAAGCAAGGCAAGCCCACGGCGGGGACCACCGGTGCTACTACTGCCGTTCACACGGACACTATTTATGTGCAAACGCAAGAGGCTCGAACCCCCCCGCCAAAAAAAGCCCGCTATTAAAACCAAAACAGACCAAAACAAATTTAAAAACCACGCAAAACCCCAAGAAATCCCTACGAACGCCGCAGGCACGGCCTGCAGCCAGAGCCGGCCTGACCC